ATCACGTGCTCACAGACATTTGAATACTTGTTTTCACAGCCAACATTAAGTGCTTAATCAAAGATAACCAGACCCACACATTTCTGTAATCTGGCATCCATAAAAAACAACCTCCTCAACCATGCTTGCACAAAATCACTTCAGTGACTTTTSGCATTCAGCAAAAGTATGGGTGGCCTGTTAAAATACAGAATTGGAATGTCCACAGCAAACTAAGCCTTCAAAAATATAAAACCTACATACGTCTGCAAGTAGAGATGCTTTTTGATTTCTGGTATATCAAATTTTGTACAGAATAGTCATGGACCATTTGAGGCAACTGTACATTTGAAGCACAGASATCAGAGTCAATCTAGTTAAGCCATTTATCCTCAATGCACAGCCTGTGAGAAATCTCTCAATGTTGAGATCCACACCATCACTCCCCACACGAGAAATTAACACATTAAAAACTACAGAGGCAGCAAGGGCAGTACAGCAGGATGTTGCTACCTGCACTGTAATATTTCTGCAGCATCAAGGGCACAGTGATCACCTCTACACTGGGCATTTCAGGAACAGATCCAACATAAGAGTAGCTACCGAGTTYTTCAGTGGTTACTATAAAAACATTTCTTTTAGAAGATCTCAAAGAAAGGAGAGTATGAAAGAAGACTGACAAAGGATTATGCAGGAGCTGGTTTAAAAAAAAAAAGGGTGGCTTTTTTGTTTTTATTTTTAAACTGTAAGTCCAAACATTGTCTTGATAGAGAAGCTTTGAAAAGAAGGCCTCTCCTATGAAGACTCATGGCTTATGCTTGTCAAACACTGATTGCTCTCACGTTGTTTAAAAAGCTATAAAGTACATTCACAGAAACACAAAGGGTCAGCTCAAGGTACAGGAACAGCTTATGCTCTCAACAGACAAAATACTTCCCCCACATCCAAACCATGTTTATGTGTGAGGCAACACAGAAACATGGATCACATTTACTTCAAAGCTTCAAATATTTCATCCTCCTAGTCTTACCACAATGAGTTAGTTGCAAAGTTAAGACTACAAAAGTATCACCTCCTAACTCCAGTTCTGCAACAGACACACCACTAGCACACATAAGCAGCTGCATCCAGAGAAGTTTCATATCCTCTCAGCAGACTTAGTAGCATGAGCAAGTCCATTTCTATGTGCAAGGTCAAATCYTTCAGGTATGTAGAATTGGAAAGCAGTGTGGATTTTGTCAATTTTTTCCTGACTTTATCCCTCCCCTCTGATATGAAAAGCTACAGCCACTCAGGAGACACTAGGGAAATTAATCTGGAAAGATCCCTCTTGCTGCTCCCTTCCCTAGTAGAGAGCTTGTGAAAGTTACATGGCAAATCCACAGCACAGCCAACACCAGAACCACAACCTACCAYCTCCCCGCGCTCCAGCTTTCAACAGAAAATACTTTTCTTTATTTGGCTTCTTGCCCACGCTCAAGTTTTCCTTGCAACAGCTTTTTAAAGGCCACACAAAGAGAGAGGGAATGGACACATCCCTTCCACAAGGATGTGGAAGCAGATGATGCAATAGTATAAATGCTCCCGTACAAGCCAGGATGCATGTGCGGATCTAATGCACTCTGCTTTCCTTTCCTTTTTCCATTCCTCAAGAAATGCAAGTATTCAAATATTCAACAATTTGGATGGTTCTGTGCTATAAACTACAAACTACAACTTTAGCATCAAGTGGGCAGAATTACGTGCATGTGCACACAAATATACATCGCTCCTATTATTCTTACCCAAGAAGGAATTAAAGGCATTGACAGATGCTAGGAAGACATCAATCAGAAGATAAAAATTATCAGCACTTGGAAAAGAGTAACCTTCCTCACTACACTCCCATATAATGACTTAATATTTTCTGGAATTGTGATCTACGATTTAGTAATTTTGGGCAGTGTCTTTAAGCCTTTTCCTAGGAATCTTAATTCCTAAGTGGTGTGGTTTTGTGTTTTGTTTATTTAAAAAAAGCTAGGAAGTGCAGCTAAACAATAACATAGAATCTATGGCAGCAAGAATCTTAAAAACAAAAAATTGTGGAAAGTGGCAGAGATAGGGCATGAGTCACTGAGCTGAGAAATACACCWCRGTAWCAATACTASTGGTTTACAAGTGAGACTTCCACCRCAGGCTGTGGGTTGGYAACAAATTTTCTACTGTCCCACAAAAACCCAGTATAAATACTTTTAACATGGTGCCTCTCTCTGAGCAGCTGTATGGCCTGATGGAGACAACCACGTTCTCCTCCTCAGTGGGTCTGACTCCTGCTGCCCACGCTGCCACAGATGCAACAGGGAYATGGCAGAGACCGCATTCTTTGTGCCTCCAAGTTACAGCGATATGAACGAACAGCACTGACCTTCTCCATAAGGAAATCCAAACATTTCCAGTACAAATCACAAGACATTGTTAACTGTGCTGGAAATGAAAAGTGCCATYCACCTGATTACAGCTCCAAGTGAGYTGTTAGGTTTTTGTATCTTCTGTGACAGGAGMGTCTCCTTCAGCTAAGCTATTTGCATATTTTTAATTAATATGAAGCAACATTAGTATGCTCTCTGAATACTAAGGAAACATTAAACAGAAAAGGACTTACAAGCCCTTTTTTTAACCTCTAAGTATTGATTTAATTTGTCTGTATTCTATCATATGACACCGAAGAATAGCTGATTTCCTCCTTTATGAAAATAGCATCCCAAAATTGGAAATGATAATGCAAACAAAAGATGTAGCCACACCAAGACAGAGATACACAGGATGTTAATATTTATTCATTAAATATTGTTTAATGGTYCTTTCTGTAGAAAATAGTTTAACTGAAGAATGAGTGCAGCAGGAAAGCTTCCAGACTTATTCAAAGGAAACCAATTCCTGCCCTAAAGAGGTAACACACAATACTTAAAAAACACCTTATAGCTGAGATGTGGCTGGCATGGCTCCAAAAAACAAGATGCCCGTTTCATTGAAAGGCTCAGATGCACTTACACACAAAACAACCAGACATCCAGATGCCAGGTAAAAACCCAAATAAACATGTTGACAGCTTTATCCATATTTCAGCAGTCCCATTCTACATCACTTTTCACTCACCTCTGCTTATGTTATGAGTGTTCAGAACTATTTTGCCACAACATGAACTAAGAATACTTTCAGCCTTCTCACTCTCCCTGACCATCAGTCCCTAACAGCCTGATTTAATTTGAGAACTTCAGAGACTAAAAGCCTTTATCACAGGCATCAGATTTATCAAGTCCAATAATAAAGGGAGGTTTCATTTTGGACTCGAGTCAAACCCGGTTAAAGCCAAAAGAAATCTCTCAACAAGTTTCACTAGTCCTTGTTGTTTAGCAAGCWTTATGACTCCAAAACAGCCAAATGTGATGTAACTAATCTATGATCTTGTATTCTCAGCATCTAAAGCCAGGGCTAATCAAAACCACCTTAAACATCTAGCAAAATCATTCAGACAGTGTCTGATCTGACTGCATTTACTTTACTGGATGGCAAGTGTGCAGATGTTAACTGTATACACCTGCTGTTAAGAATCCAGGAACATTTTGTAAGTTTTGCACCAAGCGTAGCATTAAATACATCCCCACGTACCAGGATTTTCTACATCTCTGAACAACTGCAAGTGCCCAAGTCCTTTTAAAAGCCTGGCTTTGAGCATCTCTCCTGTTTACTTCAAATACATTTGAAACAATTTTACATGGTTTAAATTCAAAATGAAGCTTTTCTCTGTCTCCCTCTTGGGTGAAATGTAATATTTATGCACATGCTCAGAGGCACAGGCATGCAAAAAAYATACAGTGACACAGAATCATGGAATTAACCCCTGACCAACCACCTGTGACTTGAAGGGGGGAACCTCATATTTGATTCAAGTGCAAATGTAGTCTGCTTGCAGAAAGGATGCTTCTAGACCTTCCAGAAGTGCCAAGAAACATCTGCAGTAACAGTATTTTCCAAAGTGCTCAAAAAYATGGTAAGAAGAGGCAAACTATGATGTGTGAAGACACAGATAACATTGAGACAGGGAGAGAAGCAGGACATAGTTTAACTTTCACAAAGTTGCTATCACTTGTGCCATTTCCACATATAGACTTCCCCCTAATACTTTTATTTCTCTGTCTTCAACAGCAGATTTTAACTCAAGTCTTACCCTCTTTGTGATAAGTGAACTGAATGGGCATGGACAAACCTTTACATTCACCAGGATCCTGCAGGGAAAATGTGACTGAAATTTAACTTCGTTGGTCAGATTGAAAGGAAATCTAGTGCATGTCAGAAAATTTCCAGATGTTAAGAAACAGTCATGCATGCAACTGAAATCAATGTGCTTCTCTCTGCCTGCAACTCCTAACCTTCTGGCAAGTAAATCCTCTCTCAACGACTTCTATTTCTGACTTCCTTCCAGCATAGAACTGGTTAATTTCCTTTCCCTGTTCCTATTATTTATGCTACAGTAAAAACCTCAAGCCAGGTCAGCCTTTTTGCAAGAAACAGAAAATTATTTCAGCGTAAAGCTCTTTGGGGCAGAATACAACAAGACAGACAGAAGAGCTGGAGGTCAAAACAGTGGCATAAGAAGTAAAAAGGCTGTAAGTTCAAGTTGAAGAACAGACCACTAGCAGGACCATAACCCAGCACCTCCTAACTACAGGCTCTATACTGTTGTCAGACTGCGCTGCTCAGGTCCTAACACACAGCTTATGTGCCTTTCCAGAAAATCCATTACAACCATCATTTTTCTCACATTATCAAAGAGGGGTCTTAGCAGCATCTTCATCCTTACCATAACACACTGAGTTATTCTCATTCATTTCCATTTCCCTCTTCTCTGACCTTACCGTGGACCCTACCTCATCTCCAGTTCGAGGCACTGGAGGAAGACATGGGAAAAGCATAAAAATGAAGTGAGTCAGCAGTTTGTGAGCAGCCCACAAGCATTAGTCAGAGGTGATCAGGGTACTCACCACAGTCAGATGTAAATGAGCCCAAGACCACCAAGGTTCACAGACCGGTGAGCAAACTTTCCCAAACGCCTGAAAATGAATCACTGGGCAAGGCCACCCCACAGATAAAGCACTTCAGGGAAAAACCACATTCTCAGCTGCCACATAYGAGTCCTGAAAGAGCAACAAAGCACACAGGGTACAGCTGTGTCACATTTCTAGTTCCCTTACAAAAAGCCCACTGCATTCAGTCCAGCTGAATCAAACACACCTGGTAAGACAGTTGCCTTGACTCCTATAATGTTTTCCTTGCTGAAYGAGGCCCACAGCTGCAAAAGCTTTTGCTGAGTAAAGCACATGCACAGTGCACTACTATGCATTGCTGCTCTCCTGCTCATCTGCTCCCTTATCAGGACACACTGACAGCAGGACTAGTGATGCTGTTGGTTAGGGTGCTCTACCTCATGCAGTGGAAATCTGAATTTTTAAAGTTTAAGACCAAATTACTAATAGTTCCAAGGGCTGCAAGTGCTCATTTGGAACACAAGAATAGTACCTTGCTACCCTCAGCAGAGCTGTGACAGTGTCTTCCTGCACAAAGAGATTTGAAGGAGCATTGTTCCCAGTCTTCACCTTCCAGCAATGAAATCAAGGGTACACAAAAGAAAAAAACAATCCACCCCTTTCAGCAGGGCTGAGTAGAGCTGTAGGATCCTCATCCATCACCTGCAAGAGAACCTTTCTCCTACAAACCTCTTCTCTGTTATGGTACAGTAAGTCCATTAAAACGTGAGTGATGTACAACCACCACTCCAGGAAAGCACACCTCACTGGAGAGAGATGCACACTGCTTCAGTGCCTCTGCACTTGGGCTGGACAGAGCAAGGCTCACTGTGAAAACAACCTCCCCACCAAAATGACACCTACTGAGTTTCAAGAAACACAGTTAATTACTGTGCTCTGGGCACARCATTCTGTGTTCTGTGACTGAGCAAGCACTAATCTCTCTGTGCAATTTCTTCACTCCTAAAATATGTTACTTTCACCTTCTTGTGAAGCACTTACTAAAACCTGTTAAAATGCTTGCCAGCAACACAACTAARCTTAAGAGCAACCTTTTTCCATCTGCAGCTTGAAATACCCTCTCTCTTCTCTGCAAACCTTCCAATATATTCTTCTACATGAAACCTGGCCCTGTCACTCATAAAACWGTTAAAGTTTCATTTTTCGATACAGCTTGTTCAGGCATTGTTGATGTAAAACATAAATAGGGAAGAACAAAGCTACACATAATATTTACACAAATTTCTAAAGTGAACAAGTATGTGTTTTAATCCACAGTATTTGGAAAACCACAGCATTGTAGCAGATATGACTAGTTAGAGAAAGTCAGAAATGACAGCAATCTTTTAGAGCACATCAATATTGTACTGATCCATGCAGTCAGACTTTACACAGAAGTAGTCCTGGCATATTTAAGCAAACCTCTGTATATTTACTCCAATCTTACCCTTCACACGAGAAGTTAGAGAAAAAAAGGCTGCAAATTTCAGTTTAAGTTGTTTCATAATAGTTTCTCTACTCCACCAAATTTTAATTCTTCTGCTACTCACTCTAGTGTGAAGTCATTATCAGTACAAGCTGAGGCTACAATCACCTGGTACAAGTTCCTGGGCTGGAGGCATCACTGTTKTTAAATAAATGCTTGGAATTTTTTATTTGAGAGTTTCTAGCATTCCTCTACCTTCTTGCAGAAGAAAGTTCACGTAGCAGCAAGGTTGCTCTGTCCCACACAAGCACCTRCATAAGGTACATCATTCTTGGATGTCTGCACGGGGACTTGAAACACGACTTTGAGAAATGTGTAACAAAGAACAGAAGTCTTAGTGTGACATTGTTGAAATATACTCTTTCGTGGGTTGTCTTTTCAGTCATTCGAGTGAGTGCTCACTTGTTGAAATAAATACCAAAAAGCGTTACTTATTATTTAAAGAATCTTCACCGCATGGTATCAGTCGACACACCTTAAGTCAGTTCGTAGCTATTATTTAATTCGGCTTAAATATCTTTAGGAACTGACGCCGACAGGTGAAAGAGGCAGAGCTCCTACATCACGGAGCACATCAGCAGGGAGGCAGCCTGCCCCTGTCCCCCGCCTCAGCTCACGGACTCCCAGGAGCGGCGGACGGAACGGACGGAACGGGCGCCACGCCCGCCCCACGCCCGCCCGCTGCGGACCCCGCCGCGCCCTCTCGCTTCGGGGAGGCGGCAGCGAAGGGCCGATGGCACCCGCCCGTTCCCGGTGCAACCGCGCCCCCCGCCCATCGCCGGCCACCGCCGGCCCCGCCGCGCCGAGCGGGGAACACCGGAGAGAAAGTGGAAGGGGCGGCACGCCCGACCGGCGCGGCAGAGCGGAGCTCGGCGGGGCTGGGCCGCCCTAGCTCCACCGTTTCCACGGAAACCCCGGCGCGGGCAGCGCTCGCCACACAAAGGGGGCCCGCAGGCGGTAGGAAAATTCTCGGCGGCGGCGGGAGAAACGGCACGGGGTCCGGGCGACCGGGGAGACCCAGTTCGGCGATGAATAAATCAGGGAACTTGTGCTCGCAGCCCACCTCCCGTCTCTCCCGCACGCCCCGCCGGCGACTGCCGGTCCCTCGCCTCGCCGCCACAGCGCGCCGGGGAGGGGCTGGCCCGGGGCTGGTTCTGCCGCCCGGGGCAGCGGCGGGCGGAGGAGGGAGGACGGCTCCGCACCTGCGGAGCACGGAGGGCGCCAGGGGAAGAGCACGTACCTGGGGCCGGCGGGCCTGGGCACGCGTGCCGCGCTGGGGCGCCGGGAGCGGGCGGCGGCCGAGCCGCACCGGCTGCCACTACTTCGCACGCGGCGGGAGCGGGAGGGCGGCTCGGGCGGGGCCGCMAGGCTCCACCCGCCGGGCGGCTCCACTCCGGGAACAGGGCCCCCCKCTCCTTCCCTCCCCGCCGTCAGCATGTCACTTCCTCCTGGGGCGGCGGGAAGGGGCGACCCCTCCCCGTACCCGCATCGCCGGCCCGTCAGGGCGCCGCCGCTGRGGAAGGGCGGCGGGCGGCGAGGAGGGAGCGGGAGCCGGGGCAGCGGCGTAGCGCCCGTCCCAGAGGGTCGCCGGCGCTGGTCGGAGCTCACTGCTCCACATCCCTTACCGGGGCAAACGCGGGGTGAATGTGGACAGGGGTCTGCCGCGGGGTGATGCGCACCTGTGGTCATCGGACACTTCAAGTAGAAACCGGGCAATAAAAAAAAACAATTCCACGGTCTCAATGCCGTGAAAGAAGATAAATGCCGTGGCAGCCATCCAAGCACCGAGTACCCTGACACACAATATTCACTCTATGTGACAACGCAAACATTTGCTGCCAGGCTCTGACTGGAGTGAAAAGCAGCTTCCATGAATAGAGAACAGTAAGAGTCTATTAAAAACATCCAAAGCATTGGAAGGTGGTGGTGACTGGGATGACACATCACTGGGACAGCACTGTCAGCTCCTGGGTGTTTGGTTATACCGGGGCTGGAGGGCTCCCGAGGCTGGGGGCTGGCAGGCAATGAGATGGAGAGAGCAAAGCTCAATTACARCCCTGGTCCATACCAGCCACGCCGAATCCCCATTTACCGTCAATGGAACATGAATGCAAATTTAAAACTTGTCATGGTTTAACTCTGGTTGGCAGCTACTGGCTAGCCATCAGGCAGTGTCTGCTGAGGAACTGTACTGTCCACCACTTGTTTTTCTGGGGTTTTATTCCTCTCCCCTATTCATTGYATTTATCGTTATTGTTGCTATTATCATTAGTATGATTGCTCTTAGGGAGCAGCAATAGGAAGGCTGCTGCTCAAGGGAGGAAAAGCCTGGARCTGAGGGTGGCCACAGCATAGTTACAGTACTSACTAGCCACAGCASCTTTCCAYARTACCTGAACAGGGCAGTGGCAGCASAGTGCAGCTCCACTGAGAGTCCTAGACAAGATAAAGCAATGAAACAGKCATGAAGCTTGTACAAAGAGCAGCCGAGGGTAGGGCCACAACTGGAAACAGCTACAATAGGGTTGGGAAGCAAAGCAGGAGACCAAACCAAACGCACATACATCTGCTGGATAGCTCTGACAGGGACTAAAGGCCCATACCTGGGCTTAAATGGAATCCTGGCCTATGGGCAATGTGTGGGGGTCCCAGGTGAGGCTGATCAGGGCTATCAAGATGTAGCCCTGTCACCAGGGTTCTGCTGGTGGAGTGTGTTGAGYGTTCGCCTCAAGACATCAAGATTTAGTCACATTCTTCCCATTCGGTCATGAAGAAGTTGCATCTGGCCCACCAGCATTCTCAGGCCAGTGGTCTAGCTGCTGAAGTGCTACATGGAGAGAGATTAGTAAAAGGAGTTTTTCCAGCCGTATTTCAACAGTCTGACCCTGTGGCTGCATTTTGAAAAAGGGAAAATTCCAGGCAGAAGAAGACTTAAAATGCATGAATAAGGTACTTAATTATGGAAAGTGGCTGGGTTTGTAGCACAGCTATGTYCAAAGCATCCCTGACCACCTGCTTGAAGCAGCTTTGTGTACTACATGTACACATTCTTGGRATTTTATTCCAAGGTATCTCACTCAGCATCTAGATGTTATCCTGAGAGCCAAGGGTCCAAAAGTCARGCACCCTGATGCTAAGTGTGGGAGTTTCTGAACACCTTTTACTTAGCTTTCCTTGAAASCAAACTCTGCAGCTGGTTATTTGTATGTTCTGATTTTCTGTAATGCCACAGTAAAAAGCTGTCTTCTTGCTTTCATTAGTGTTAAGCTGCAGCTGGATGTAATAGGTTTTATGGATGCTTTACATCTGAGAAAACTTTCCACCGAAGAGGTGAATCCTAGTTTTGTACAGTACATCTATCTCTCAAAAGTYTAACCAGGAAAACATGAATAATCCTCTTATTTAGGTTGGGTATTAAAAGGTAAATCTTACGAAGCTGTTAGTTATCATGGTAATGACTGAGACTGAAAAGCACATAGGAAAAAAACCTYCTGTATTAAAAGCAGGTCTTGTGATGTTCTCGCTGAGTATTTTTTAGGTGGTAGAACAAGGAGGATAAAAAGGAATCGGATTATCTTTCTGTAAGCTCTGCCCTCCAGGGCACTCGACGATGGAGTATGTCTCAGTTTTGGCACTCCCTGTTCTGAGTGCTTGGTTTTCAATCTCAGTGCAGTTCTTTTGCTTGTTGTTGGTGGGTATGCAAACACTTTATTTGCATTGGGCAAAATTCAAGAGTTGAGTCAGGAATTTACACGAGGCAATGATGCCTCCCAGCTATCCATCACTCTGTGAAATGGGTGATTTTCAAAGAGTTTCCCTGTAAGAAATAAACATAATRAAAACATGATAACAACAAGACCAAAAYAAAACCACAAAAACAAACCCCAATCCCTCCGTAGTGGGAGGGGAAAAACGTGCACTCCATTTGGTGTGGAACCCACATATCTCTCATGGCTGAAACAAAATGAGCTGTTTGCTGGTTCTCATAGCTCGACCCCAACGCTGCTCACCACATGCACTTTTAAATGACTTGTGAATTCGACTTCAGAAATTTTATTGCAGGCAAAAACTTGTCTGTCCTGCAAAGTTCTGCAGTGCTACCTATGCCAGCCTAGAGAAAAGAGGCAGCACCCCTGCTGTTGATGCTGCCAAACTGATAGGGTCAATACTAACATAGGGATACACTACCATACAATGCCATGAGCAGCTGGACTGAAGAAGTCCAGTTTGCTCTTGCTGCATGTCTTATGGTTAGAATCTCCAATATCTATTAAGGTGTGGGTTATAAAAGGCTTATTTCCTGCATTTAAAAGCATTCATAATGGCCCTCTTCTGTGTAGACTGAGTGTAATAAAGGCTGAACTGCAGGTTGTCCCTCCATGCAGGCAATAACAGGAAATCTTTCCTGTGCTTGGCTTATCCGTCTTTATGAAAACTGTGGGAAAGTAATTGTGTCTGAGATCTCTGCTGCTTTATGGGGATTGATTAAAATCATCTAACAAGGTCAGGAATAGTAAGGATTGATGTGTATAGTATGTAACTGCACGATCCTTTTCCACTAGGAAACCACATGACAAYATCTATACATAGGTTAATACGTGCTGGCAGTTTATTTAAATATGGAAACTGAAAATGAAAGGTACTGATGCGATGCATTTTTGTAATGAAAAAAGTCCTAATGCGGATGCAGGTGTACCTGTTTAAATAGGCCAGTGGGGGAGGGGTGTTGAGAATCACACCCACTCCCTGTGTAACTAATTTTTCTGGGCAAGTGATTTTCCTTTCTAGTGTGGACTAACYCTTACTGCAACACCTGCTATCTCTCCTCTACCTCAGCTGTACAATGGATCCTCTGTTTTCATCTAGAAACTCCCACTTSCCTTCAAAGAAGCCATGTGGTACTCACAAATGGAAACATCCTGTTAAAATTAAACCCTGGGGTCACAGTTAATTCTAGAATAGAATTTTAGAATTCCTTAATTGAATAGGCATTAGCAAAAGAGCTGTGTGAGATGCATTACAGGAATTTAAGCTCCAGATTGTCTAATTTGACCCTTTACAAAGTCTAGTCCATACAGGAAGAATACTGGCTGAGATAACAAAACCCATTTCTTTGAACATGTTTATTCTTTCAGCATACTTTATTTTCTGCAACAAGTATATGATTACTAGTCAATTATAATGCATCTACAATTTTTAAAGTCTATCATTCCTTTAATACATACCAAGGATCCCACCATATAAAATGTTTTCCAAATTACTCTTTTCAGAATTACAACAAATACTTTCACATCTGCTGACATCTACAAAATAAAAACTYCTTACACATGTACAAATATTATTTCTGCAGCTGTTTTAAGTATTCATCCTGAGCCTGCCTATGAGGAGGAGAGGACCCTTGTTACTCTTTCCWCATATATACAAATACCACAGGTTTGTTTTTCATATTTTCCTAGGGCTTGATTAAAATGAAGACTTCTGCATGGACATGTTTGGGCACAAACTTTGTGACTTGGGTGACTGACTTTAGATATACCTACATGTGCAGGTGACAGAGCAGATGTTTTAGACACACACACACACAGACATGTATGCAYACACATTCACACACATACAAACACCTACCTCGTGGCAGAAGGAAAACTTGCAGCTCTGATGGTTTGTGTGAGTTGAGTGTGACAAAATAGYGAGGGCTTCAATGGCACCTTGGAAATGTGGAGATGCAACATCTGTTACTGGCAYGATCATGGGTGTACGTGGGTGGAATTCCTACAAGATCTTAGAGGAAARATCCCTTTGGAGCTGTAAAGGTAAGTGTTGTTTAGAGGATACTCAGGAAACTGCAGAAAAGCTCAGATAAGAAATTGCAGGAGAAAATTCTTGGTCTGAACACTTTGAAGCTGGAGTAGCATAGACCCTGTAAAAAAGATGTTTTTTTATGCATAACTGTTTACCTCAAGAAAGCATGGCATATTGGCTGCTTTCCAGGTCTTCAAGGGCAACACCTAATCTGCATATGTAGTTWCACAGACATTTACAGTCAGAAGCAAAACCCACAAGTATTCTTGTTGCTTGCATATGTACATTTCCTGACCTAGAGGAAGAAATGACTACTTTAGCACGATGAGGACAAGGCCTCTTTCTGCCACAGTAATGTGTGGCGATGAGCTGTGTGAGCCTGCCATTTCGAACTGTGTACAAACGTACATAAAATGGCAATCCCTGCAATAGGTGCGGTGCTCCTGATCTAGCTTGTAATTAATCCTGTGGCAGTGTCCTCACCCTGTGAATGGCTGCATCCTCACCCTGCCCAGAAAAGACAGCATCTTTAAGCCAC